AGGTTTAACTATATATATATATATATATATATATATATATATATATAGAGAGAGAGAGAGAGAGAGAGAGAGAGATTGGCAGATGGCTATTGAGAGGATAGATATAGTCATTACCTTCATGTTCTTGCTTATGTAGAGGTGGATTTGCTGCTGCCTGTTATGGGAAGGTCTGGGAAAAGACAGTGCTTGACTGAAAGGGTCAGAACTGCAGTAACCATAATGAAGAATGAAAAACAGAGCAAAAACCTGAGAATAAAAAAGCCACTATCCTCGTACTTTTCTATTCAGTGTCAGTTCTAGGGGAAATGGCAAAGTAGGTCAAGTTTGTGTTCAGTGCCCCAACCCTCTGTCGCAATGACTTCCTCCCCAATCCTGAATGTGTGGCTCTCCTCTCGCTGAACAGGAACCTCAGGGGTTTTAAAGGAGTGGGCTCAGAAACTTGTCAAACTCTGAAATCATATAACAAATCCTGCAGTCATTTAACCGATATAATCATCTGTTGAATATGGAGCACACAAACAAAATTCAAGCCCTGACATAAAGAAAAAAACAAAACAAAACTAAAAAACAATCCATTAGCTTTAGTTCTCATAATTTTCTAAAATGTCCTCTGGGAAGACAAAAGGCAACCTTTAAGAATGTAATTTAGTTTTAAAATTGAAATTCATTGGAGCAAACCTGGCTCATTTGGAATTTCTATTCTTTCTCAACTTTCTATTGATTTATTTTTATTAGATTTTAATTAGGGATTCCATTGTGAAATGTTTTGAACCAGAATGTAATTTAAGGAGTCAGATTTTTCCAGCAGTAAAGAGAGAACAGTGGAAGCACAGAATTAAATGAGGAAAAAAAGGAAATTGTTTGGCAATTAAATGAAATGAGGGGAAAAAAAAAAGAAAGAAAGAACGTGAACAGAACAACACCTGAGGTTCAGTAAAGTCCTGGAATCCAGAGGAGGGACTGACAGCTGGCAATGCAACACAGGAGTTAGATTCATGACCGTGACTCTTTCACTGCAATCCCTGGCATGGGTTGTCAGCAGTCATAATGTACAATGATATTCCACTGACTTCTGGCTTCAAGAATCAGGTTTCAGTTAATTACAAAGATATCAAGAAAACTGATTATCCCAGACTCATAGGGAATAGGTGGACAGCTCTGGAGAGGGAGTGTTGGGGGGACGAGAAGGTAGTAGAAGGATGAGTAAAAAAGAAAAAGAAAAAAGAAGTGATGGACGCGAACAACAGTATGTGATTGTGGGAGATTGGTGGAGGGTACAGGGGAGAAAATTAAATGAAGAAAAAAATGTTTTAAAAAAGGAAAATTGAGAGCAATCACTTGGTATTAATAAGAAGCTCAGATAAATCATCAATCAGCATTTATGAAAACTGCATAATTATTATTTTTGGAATCAACAGAAACTACTGAATTTTAGGGCAAGCTTATTAATTTTTTAAAAGAAGAAATGTTTATTGCTAGTAATGAAAATAGTTTACAAGGTCAAGGGGAGAAAAAAAGGAGACATATATAATACTCTTTATAATACTTTAAGCAATAAAACAATTAAAAAATAGTTTACAGTGTTTTAGTAGATAGAAATTCAAAGGAGCAATATTTTCTTAAAGAAGTCAAAGATTTAATAATATTCTGAGGCATAAGAAGTAAATTAACTTAAAAATGTTTTGAGTTTTATTATTTATAAAACTGTATGTGATTCTTATTTAAATAGATAACATTATATGTATTTTATTTTTAGTTCTTGCTATAAATTGGTTTTTCTTACTCGAAAATATAAATTCAGCAAAATAATATCAAATGTTTTTTGTCGATTTTTTGTGTAAATTTCTAATAAACAATGCTTATTAGTCTGGGATATAAACATTTGCATCTCTAAGTAATGTCCTACTATGTATGGTACCATACAAATTCTAAAATATTTGGATCCTTTTATCTATCTTCCACCTGCCTATAATACTCGGTGAAGTGAGAATAGAGAAAATCTAATTGCAAAAAAAAAGATAACACAAAAATGCAATTAAATAGAAAAATATAAATACTTTTTGAGAGTTTTTTTAATCACGCTAAGAGAAACTAAAATAACCTCTTTCTATTAAATAGTTTATTAACATAAAATCCTTAAAGCTATCTTTAGCTGTTGTGTAATACAGTATACTTTCAATTAACTACTGATTCCTTTCAAATATTTTTACTAAAATAATGGGCAACATATACTCCTGCTATATATTTGAGATGATTATACTGATGGTAGAAAAAATAAACAAATATCAGGAACAAAACAAATGGAAAAAATCTAACTGCACAAAAGAGGAGAAAAAGTAATATTTGAGCTAATAAATCAAAAGCTCAAAAAGGCTTACTCATAGGCAAAGGAAAACAATTATTAGCACAAAAGATTCCACTAAAAATGTGGAGATTATTTTTAATGTATTTGAATTTCTAAGTTAAAGAAATATTTCAATTTAGAAATAGAACACTATTTTTCTTATTTGAGATCATTTAAATAGTGATGGAAGCCAAAAAATATAAAATGTAATATGCTACTGGTTTCTAATTGAAATCTGTTAAAGCACTACTACAAAATTTTAGTAAGAGAAAAAAAACCTGATAAACAGGTTTCTTTTGTTTAGCTTTTAATTTCTTGCTCCTAAAAGGAAATATATTTTTGTTCCTTTTATATTAAAAATTTTAATAGATATTAATTAAATGAGTGCATTAGTGAATGCAATTATTCAATGAAAGATTATTTAAGCTAAACTTTCAAGTTCATGTTTCAAAGTAGAAGTCCATATCCTATATAATTCATTGATTATCTAAGTATAGTCTTCAGATTTATAATAATTTCCCCATATTTATTAATAAGGAGATCTGGAAACTATTTGTGTTACAGGAGATATTTTTACTGGCATTCTCACCCTTAGACTAGCAATATTTGTGTATCATATTAATTAAAATATATGCCAAATATATTTTCTTTTAAGAACAGTAGTCACCTTTCTAAAATATTGTTTTTGATATCAATTTTTTAAAATCATGTTTTTACTATAATTTAAACTTTCAAACATATATAACTTTCTTTTTCTATAGAGGTCTTTTTCATGCTCATCAAATACACTGTTCAGTTAGTTCATGAAAAGGAATTAAAGTATTAATGTGAGCAGCAGTGTACTTGTTTATATTTTTTATTAAGAAAGGAAAATTGGAATCTCATGAAGATAGACAATAACTGCAAACTCTTTACTTACCATATGCAACTGTACAAATAGTAGTCAAAAATCATCTGCTTAATTACTTTATTATACACATAAATGGGTCTGTCTTATGCTATTCATTCACATATCAAGATTCAACAACCCATTATTTAAATGTATCTAAAAGATTTACATAATATCGCATAGTTACAACCCATAAAGACATTTAAGTCACTTTCAAGTAAACATTCAAATTTGCAGGAACTGTGAATATTAAATAAGTATTTAAGTAGCTTTTGTTAGCCCTAGCTGGTTTGACTCAGTTGATAGAGCTTTGGCCTGCGGACTGAAGGGTCCCGGGTTCTATTCCAGTCAAGGGCACATGTCCAGGTAGTGGGCTTGATCCCCAGTAGGGGGTGTACAAGAGGCAGCTGATAAATAATTCTCTCTCATCATTGATGTTTCTATCTCCCTCTCCCTTTTTGTCTGAGATCAGTATATATATATGGCTTTTGTTAAAAAAATTTAAAAAAACAAGATTTCTGTTAACACAGAAAATTGTGATGGTAAAAGTTCAGAAGAAAGTTATCTATCTAGCACTTATTACTTAGAAAAGAAGGCCTTGGGGAGGTCAACCTTAAAATAAATCCAGCATAATAATATTCAGTGCAGAAATATTTATATCTATGTTTACTTATTTTGTATTAAATAGATGTTTATGTATGTATATTTGTATTAAAATTTGAATATTATTAGAAAAGTTAATAAACATTATATCTGCTAAGCTATATGTGCTAGGACAGAGTACACTACAGGCAAAAAATTACTTTCTATGAATCATCAATTAATAAATGACTTAGCAGCTGTGTTTATATGTATAAGTCAAGTTTCTCATTAAAAACTGAAATGATAAATATTAAATATTTAAATATCATGACTATTTTGAAAACTAATATTATATTAACTAATGTAAAATACATCTGAAATTCTGAAATACAATTTATAAAACAATTAATTTTTCATTTGTTATAATTGGACATTAGAAAAAAGCTTATGGTCTCTAGTTCTTACACATGAAAGTAGTTTAATTCTCTTTGGGTAAATCATCAGCAAATATTCCATTATGCTTGAAACAATGAAAACATAAAATTAATAAAAAGGCATATCAAATGAATAAATTAGAGGTGGACTTTTAGAATGTACGTATTTATTAAGAAATATATTTTCATCTCTGAGTAAACAAGTTCATTCTTATTTGATATCTATGAAGACTTCAATGTAAATCAAAACAAAAGGAGCAAAAACTCTGACTTAGCTATTATTTGACTCTTTAAAAACTAAAATTCACTCTAAAAATACAACAACATGCTAGACATATACAATTCCAATCAAGTTTTCATTTTACCTAAATGTGTTGAATTTACTATTTTAATCTTAAAAATGAGTATATTAAAATGTGCATATTTAGGTAATATATGCCATGTTTTGCTTGTCAATAAAATGCAAAATAAGAAAAGTTAGGAAGCATCCATGAAGATAAGAACAAATCTAGTGACTTAATCAAGTTCTCATGTTAAGAAGATTATAGACCACTATCTATGGCCTTTCTTTCTCTCTTGTTTCTGAGGTACTTGAATAGTTGCTCTTTGTCTGGGACAAAGTTGGGATTTGCTGTCTCTTTTGATCCATTAATGGTCCATTCCACCATAATAAACTGCAACTCTAGTGCTAATTGGTTCATAATGATTGCTTAAGCTTTACACTTGGTAAGCATTGGAAGGCTTCACTCACCTTGTTCAAGTGGTTGGCTTTTAGTTGAAGTAGTTTTCATCTTGAGTGCCTCCCTAACAGACATGTCACAGCAGGAGCCTTTGTTAGTGTCTTGGTCACTGTCAGCCTGATCACTGTCCCCGTGCCCACTGTCTCTCAGGCTGGCTCTTTCTGGGTCCTTAAACGTGGAGCTACTGAAATACATATAAAGACAAAGAAGAGAAAGTGGTGTCTCTACGAGTTTGAGTCTGGTGTGGTTACTTGCAAAGCAATTTTGACACGAATGCAAATGGGGAAGCTGAGAAAGTTATTTAATAGGCCTTACCTTTGAACAAACTGCTGCCTGCTGCCCATGTAATTGGGCTCTGCGGGAAAATTGTCTGTCTGTGAAAGAGAAGGAAAAAAATACGTATAGTTGTACACTGGACAAATCTCCTGCAGAGCAACAAGATTTCCTAGTGGAAAAATGATTAATAATTCAAAAATTCCCTTAATCTTCAGATTTGTACATTTTAATTAAATTGGAAATTGCTGACATGTAATTATGTACTCAGAACAATTAAATGATTCCGGTCCACAAATTACCTGTTAAAGTAAACAATGAGCCTGTCATAACTGGCATTCTCTCTTAGCACCAGGATGGATAACACTGTGTTGTTTCATTATTTAGATATTAAGATTGAATATTTGTGGGGGGAGTAGAAAAATGACCTAATTTCTCCATAATAAAAGTGTGAATTATTTAATAATACTCATTTTTAACATAATTACATAATCCTCTGGGATTCTATGCCTTCTTTGGTGTAATATCATTTTAAAGTCATCCACTCCTCAATTAAGAGATACTGATCCTTTTCTCCAAATTACCAGAGTAAGGAGGATGGGAAGAGGTAGAAGAATGTAAAAGGGAGATAAATGGTGATGAAAGGAGACTTGATGTTGGGTGTAAACATAGAATGCAGTATACAGATGATGTATTATAGAATTGTACACCTGAAACATATAATTTTATTAACCAATGTTACCCCAATAAATTCAGTAAAAAATAAAATAAATAGATAAGCCGGGCCCATATAATTCATCCTCATCTACATCTCTACTATAAAAATTGTGCTCACACAAGACAATGGAAAGATGTATTATTTCCTGGTTATTAACAACAAAGCAAAAGAAAAATAAGAAATAAAATGTTACTTAAAACACCGAGAGTAAAGACAGAGAAACCAGGCTTGTTTTCTGTGGTTGTTTTTACTGCCTCCAAACTGACCTGGAGGTCTGCCAAGAAGAACTGAATTCTCCTTGTATCATGGAACAGAGTCTTTTGGGAGAAAGAGACTAGATCTTTCATAGATCTCCCTATACGGTACATTCATACACGTTACTTCTTGCAGCTGACTCCAGGACAAAGGTTCTCCTGTTTTCTGCATCACTTCATATCACGTCATTAAGCAGCTATGGGTTCGTACAAGATCATCCAGCATGCGAGTATCAGTGGCACAGGAGCATGCAATTCATGAAGCAGAGGGCCCAAGGTAAGGCTTAATGTAGTGCAATATGTGTTTTCCTTATAAATAAGCCTAATTTATGTTAACAGTACTCTTTTTCTCCCCGTGTAATAATTTAAGTTATTTGGCTTTTCCAAATATTCCTGGGGGGAAGGGAGGCATGCTAAGAGTAACATCTTAAAGCATGAAGTTGCAATGTCTGTTAGAAGTTTGGGGACAGAAGAAACCCCTTACAAATATCTTAATTTGTAATCTTTTGTTGTTGTTCAAATGAATTTTATGCCAAAAAAAAGTAAAAATGTGGGTAAACAAGGACGATTCATTTCTCACACCTAATCTGTTTAGCTAGTAGTTGATGGCATACATTTTTCATTGACATGTTTTATTTTTCCACAGGCTCTGTAAAGCACCCATTTTGTTTTCAAAATAACAAACTATCAATTTTTAAGAATAACTTAAAGATCTAATAAAGATAATGGAAACCAGCATGAGGGGCAAAAATGTTTGCTAAAGCATTTTTCCAATTTTTGAAACTATAATTAGTTGAAATTCCACATTTTAATGTATTAAAATCTAGTTCATCTTTTTAAAATATATATTTTAATTTATTTTAGAGAGAGAGGGAGAGAAACATGGATGTAAGAGAGGAACGTTGATCAGCTGCCTCCTGCAAGCTCCCTACTGGACATCAAGCCTTCAACCTGGGCACGTGCCCTGACCAGGAATCAAACTCATGACCTATCGGTGCATGGGATGACACTCAACCAACTGAGCCACACTAGCCAGGGCTAGTTCATCTTTTGAATTGGTCAGAATATGTATACATATGCTTTCAGTTCAAAGTTCAGGATAAATGTCTTAGAACATTTCAGAAAATGAGAATCCTGGGTATTAAGGAGAGAGTAAAATGTAATCTGAAAAGCCAAAACTCTAATGAGAAAATAGAAGGGCTATAAAAAGTAATCTTGTGTTTTCGATGGCTTTAATTAAATGGAGCCTTATAAGAAATTGACACAGGGAGACACATTGGGGAAACTTTTCTTCATCTGTTCTAATCAGGATAGTATTTTAAAATGTTTGCAAATTATTAAAGTTTTAAGGAGTTTAAGTAAAATAAGAGACAAGCAAAAATAAACATATTCTCATTGAGTGAAAAGCTGTTTTTAAATATGATTATGCAAAAGCATGTGTGTTTTTCTATGTTTTATGTATGTATCAGTATCAGATGAACTGCTACCAAATACAGTTTTGGGGAAAATAGAAAAATAAGAGGAAGTTAGAAAAAGGGGGGAATTTTGAGGAAAAGAGAGGGAAGAAAAATAACAGAAGTGAGAAAAGCAAGAAAAAATAAAGAAAAATAATTAAAAGGAAAAAAAATATATATATATATATAAAGGAAGAAAAATGAGGGAGTTAAAAATACAGAAATTGTTAAAAGTAATTGGTTTATTATTGTAGAATTTCACAAAGAACATTTTTTCAAACATAAAATTTAATCAGTAGCACAATAACAGAAGTTACTAGTAATGACTGCATTCACCCATTAAAATGGGTAGGAATTTGAGAGATTTGTGTGTATTCATAATTATCATAATGAAACAGCCATTTTATCTTAACAAATATATAATAATTCACTATAAGAAAACCACACTAGCTTTATTATAGAAAATAACATTTTCATTATACAGACTCCAAGGATGTCAGAAAACTCATTTAAAATAACCTGAATATAAAATAACAGTATTTGCATAGAAAAATGAAAAATAGAGAAAAATAGCCATATTTATCACATCATTTAATTTAGAAGTAAAAGGGCTTTCAGATATTTTTCAATATTGTACTTAAAAATTGACTTCTACCAAAGAACTTGTATGCATGCATATGAGCATAACCAATGGGCACAGACAGTAGGGGGGGGTGAGGCCATGTGCTGGGGGGCGGGGGTGGCCAGGGAGAGGTCAATGGGGGGAAAAGGAGACTTATATAATACTTTAAACAAGAAGGAATTTTTTAAAAGTTTACTTCTACCTGGTAAATTTATAAATTATCTTTTAAGTTTAGAAAGAAAGTAAAATTTGAGGTCACATACTTATAGTTTTCTAAGTCCCAGCAGAGTAATTAAGTGTGAATATTTATAACTCTAAAACCTTTATATTTTTCCACACAAACTATTCACTAGATTTTTCCCCTTCAAATTGAACACAGTTTAACTATTATTTTAAAAACACATAATATAGCATTGAAATATGTGTACCCTGAATTGGTGGGTAATTACAGAAAAGTTCTAAAGTTTTAGATACCTTTTTAATCTATTTCAAAGTCAGGAATTAAAAGACAGAAGTTTGTTTTTGCGATTATTTGCTCATAGCATAAAAGACCTGAACTTACTTATAAAACTGAATATGCCCTCTTATTTTGATTTTTTCTTTCTTGTTATTTTCTTTGATGAAGATTATAAAAAATTAGATATTCTTTGCTTTCGTTTGTACAGAAAGCAAAGAAATAAACAAGTTATCAAACAAACCCACAAAGTGGATATGAATGATTTCTTTAATTATTTGCCTCTATGCTTTTCTCTAGTAGTATTCAGCAAATTCTAGTAAATTTATATTATATTCAAAATTTAAAAAATTATCAGCAGTAGTTAATATTAAAATATCTTCTAAAATTTGCTCATCCTTTTAGAACTATAAAGATCACATCATAATTTGAAAAATTAGTTTCTTTGAGAAAGTGGAAGGAAGCACTTACTAAAACTGAACCAAGTTGGCTAAAATTTGGAAAGCTCTTCTTTTATGGAAGTTGATAATTTGATACAGCTACTTAAATGTGCCTAAAGAAGTTGAACTGAAAATGGATAGTAAAAGGAGTCAAAATAGTTTTTCTATACTAGTAAACTAGTAAAAATAGAAATATTAAAGACATATCAAGCATTTGACAAATTCAACATCTATTAATGATAAATTTCTCATCAAATAAGAATAAAAAACTTTCTCAATTGTATTGAGGGCATCTATGAAAAAACAAAGGGTATAACTAATATAGTCCTGGTGAAACACTGAAAAAAGTTACCACTTCTATTAATCATTGCACTGAAAGTCCTAATTGTTCAATAAGGCAAGAAAAATAAAGGACGCACAGATTAGAAAGAAATGGGAAAAAATACAGACAATATCATTGTATTCTTAGATAATATTATGTAGTTAGAAAGTAGGAAGGAATTAAAGAAAACTTCTTAGAACTAATAAGTAAGTTAAGCAATGTTGCCACATTCAAGATCCCACAGAAAAATTAATTATATTTCTATATTCTAGAAATACGCTATTGAAGATCAAAATTGCAAAAGCAATGCATTTCTCACAGCTCCATAAAAATCAAATACTTAGCAAATTATGCTTTAAAAAACAAGTATAGAATCTGTATACTGAACTTTACAAAAACTGATTACATAAATCAAAAAAGCTTATGTAATGAAGACATTAATATGTTTATTATTGGAAGATACAACATGGTAAAGATGTCAATGCTTCTCAAATAATCTATACATGTAACATAATTCCACTCAAATTCCCAGCACGATTTCCTATAGATATAGACAAGAGGATTCTAAAATGTAGCAAAGAAACTGTAATAGCCAAAACGCATTTTTTAAAAAAAAGAACAAATTTGAAGGAGATACACTACCCTATTTTAAGACTTATTATGAAATGACCCTATCAATATAATGCAGCATTGTTGATGAAAAAGACATATAGATCAATGAAACAGAAGAGACTTTCCAGAAATAGTTCATACAAATATGGTCAATTGATTTCTAACAAAGTTGCAAAAGGCAATTCAATAGGTAATTCAAAAGAAATGAATCTCAACCTTACACTT